GCAGGCGGGAGATGGAGGAGCCCCATCTAGGGTGACTTGGGGGGCAGGCAGGAGAAGTGGGGTTTGGGAGGGTGGGGGATCCTCCCTGCGCCTTCCCTGTGAGCGGGAACGTCTGCCGGACCTCTTGCTCTTTTGCACACACTCTGTGTGTTTGTTTCTCTGTGTCTTTGTGTGTGTTGTGTGAGTGTGTGTTTGTCTTTTCCTGGATGACCTGGCAGAGAGGAGGGCTAACCAGATCCCCCTCAAGAGCAGATCCTGAGCTGAGGATCAACAGCAGGACGACTCCTCCCCTACCCCACCCCACCCCCGCTTGGTGGCTTCCTTGTTGTGTTGCTTGTGTGAACACAGACCTTGTTTTTCCGAAAGGGCGGCAGGAGCGCAGCAGGAGAACTTTCCTCCACGGGATCTTTTGTAGCAGAGGCTGAAAGGGAGATCTCCCCTAGAAGGGTCTCCTGGTGGACGTTGTTCTTCTTCAAACAGGGCCAAAACTGTTCTGGTCTTTGTTTCCTGACTGCACAATTCAGGGCCATTGGCTGTGCAAAAGACCTGCTCCTCACTCCTCCTTCCCAGGGATTCACCCTCCTGCCTCCAATTCGTGGCTCTCCATGGGGTGGAGCAAAGGGAGCTTTGGAAAGAGGCCGAAGGAGCTCCGGTCCTTCCACATGGAGGGCAGGAGGAAAGAAGGACCAGAAGGCAGCCCGGCCTCTCCTTCTGGGTCCCTCGCCTGGCAGGTCTTTTGTGGAGTGAATGGCTCTGAAGGGTCCGTTCCAGACGAAGTGATTGTGAAACTCTTTGCTTTACAGCAGGGACAGCCGACACGAAGACCCCCCACCCTCGGCTGCCCCCTTTCCAAGCCCCTGTGAATTTGGCAGTGAGCTGAAAGGGAAGAGCGAAGTCTAAGCGAGGTTGGGGGTTGGAAGACAGGAGGTGAGAAAAGTCCTGACACCTGAACTCTGCCCACCTTGGATGGGCAACCCCACAACACAGGGCACTTGGCATGGAGGCCGAAGAGCGACTTCAGAGATGCCCCCTGTGTTAGGATCCTTGAAGTGACAAAAATAATGGTCCTGTGAGAACGGGGCTGGTCCAACCCTTGGTCCACTACATCACACAGGGCTCTGGTGTTTCCTAGATTTTTTTTTACCATTTTTACTGTAGCTTTGGTTTGATTCTTTTTAACATTTGCAGACTTGCTGTTTTTCACTTTTAAATATTGCCTTTTAAGCAAGCTGCCTTACATCCTTTTTAAGGAGAAAGGCCGGGGAAAATGTTTTAAATAAATAGTGGGAGAAATACACTCTTGTTTGCTGCTGCTTTCCTCGCAGGTGTCAGTGGGAAGCAGGTCCTGTTGCTCTCTGGTTCCCTGCTGTTGCCCCCTCGTCACTGGGACGGGGGGAGCTTTTATCTTGGAGCCCAGCATGAGATGCTCCTTCCTTCCTCCCTTCCAACGGATCTTTTTCTTTTCTCCTAGGAAGGGGTGAGACTGAGTTGATGTCTGTTTTGGGGACCAAAAACAAAGAAACAAATCCCAGATCCCTCCAACATTTGCAAGGTAAGTGAGATTTGAAGACGTGGCTTACGTAGCTTTGCCACACACTTTCTTCTCAGTTTCCTTGGTTCAGCAGGGATTTGAATCCAGGTCTCCTCGTTTCCAGTCTGGTACTCCATCCACTACATCACACTGCCTCTCTGAACATGTGCAAAGTGGTGGTGTTTTGGGCTTTGGTTTTCTTTGCATTTTATTTAGTTTTCTTTTTTTAAAGATTGCAATGCTGCTCACCCCAAACCCCATCCTCACCAAGGGCAGGTCCTCTTGATATGTGGCAGACCTTGGTCATCCCGATTTGGGGTGTGTGGGGGTTCCCCTTCAAGCCTCCTTTCTTTTTCCCCCTTTAACAGACAAGCCAGACTGGAGGCCCTAACCTAAGCATTCTTCTGGAGCCAAAACTGTCAGTGGAGAAGCAGGTGGCGCCCATGGTCTGATCCATCAACTTCCCTCTTAGACGAATTGCGCAGCTGGGACCCTGCCTGGATGCAACTGTCACACTGCAGATTGGTCCACACACAGTCTCAGGAATAGACTAGAGGAATTCTCTTTCTGTGGGGCTTCCTAACACATCCTGTCCTCCATCCTTCTGGAGCCAAAACTGTCAGTGGAGAAGCAGGTGGCGCCCATGGTCTGATCCATCAACTTCCCTCTTAGACGAATTGCGCAGCTGGGACCCTGCCTGGATGCAACTGTCACACTGCAGATTGGTCCACACACAGTCTCAGGAATAGACTAGAGGAATTCTCTTTCTGTGGGGCTTCCTAACACATCCTGTCCTCCATCTTTCCTACATTACTCGGACCTGTAAACCAATTAACTTCAAAGAGGCGTAACACCACTCTCCACCCCAAATTCCCATGGAGATGCCAGTGCGTGTGTTGAGTCTTCATGCTGGGCCTCTTTTGACCTTGCATCCTTATCTGAATCCTCTGTACCAGACTTAACAGAAAAACACATGCCAATGCCTTGAAATCATTTCACACAGAACCTAACTGACTCCATTTCCCTCAGACTACAGATCCCACTCTCCAAGCATTGGCCATTTTCATTCATCTTTCCAATGCCAAAACGGCCTAGACAAGTGGGCCAAGAATTGTGATCAGCACCAACTCTAGCGTTAAAGTCTCCACGAATGAACAGTGGCTCTCTGTCAGGGACTTTTTTGATAGTAGCTGCCAGATCGTCGTAAAATTTGTCTTTCACTTCTGTTGTGGATGACAGTGTTGGTGCATATGCACTAATGAGGGTGACCGGTCCCGTTGATGAGTAGAGCTGCAGAGACAGAATTATTTCACTCCCCACAGTAGGTGCAACAATAGATCTCAGCAGAGTATTTCTGACTGCAAAGCCGACACCATATTCCGGGGTCTAATTCAATGATTTTCCCTGCCAGAAGAATGAGAAGTGTTTTTCTTTGATAGATTCTGAGTCTGGCAGGGCAACAATGTCCATCTGCAGTTTACTCAGTTCCATGTCGATGACAGCTGTCTTGCACACGTCATCTATTTTCTGCAGGTCGTCAGAAAAGCCAGGGATCATTGTCCGTACATTCCAGGTGCCCAGCTTTAGGGCAGAAGTTTTCTTACGATTGTTGCATGCTGCACGATTATCAATCTGCTTGTCGGATTTCACCCTAAACCCACACACCCATGAAGTTAACAGACCGTGGCAAGGTAGCACCATACTGGCTGGAGGCTGCCCAACTTAAGGTGGGTGTTATCTACCTAGTGAGGTGCAATGACCTCTCCCACTGTCAGAAGTAGCCCCTGGCATCATGCTCTATGCCAATTGAGCAAAGACTTATAACCGTTAACTGCTACTTCCCGTGTTGTTTTAATGCTGTATGTGAAGCTGGAGTGTCCTCTCCAGAGCACGAGTACGCATAAAGTAATATGGAGGACAGGCTGTTACCCAAGCACCAAATCCCCCCTCTCCACGTCACTGAAATATTCCAGTGGAAAGACAAGAGCCAATACAACTGGTTCCAGCAACGTCACAGGAGTTGCCAGAACGACACGAACTGCCTCCAGGACTCCGGCTCCGGATTTTGCCTCGAGGTTATCTCCTGAAGCCTTTTCCATCTGTGGATATAGCCACAAGGCAGTGGAGGTTTGAAATCAGAGTTTTCCTTCTCCTAGATGGGCTGCCTTCCAAGGCTGATGAGCCCCACCCATCCAGCCTGCTTCCTAATAGTGCGAAGGTATGGTCTGCCCTCTAAGACTTTCCTGCCCCTCAGGTGTATGCAATGCTTATTTGACTTTCCTGTTTACGAGATTAGAGTCAGAAATAGATGCAGATCATGCTCACGCTTCTGAATCTGCTCATTTAAATTTAACCCCCACCCTCAGCCCATGCGATTTAAATTTAACCCCCACCCTCAGCCCATACGGTTAGTGAGAGCAAAGGTCAGTTAGAAAAAAATACCTCCCCGGAAAAAATGTGCTCTAGTGAACCTAGCTACATTTGTAGCCATTTTGCGATGTGGAGTCCAGGAATGTATGTAATGGGACAGGATGCCTAGATATTTATACTCTTTCACCTGTTCTATTTTGTGCCCATTCAAATTCCATTGAAATTGCTTCCACAACTTTGAGAAAACCAAAATGTTGGGTTCATTATAATTTAGTTGCATTTTGTTTTTGTCCAGGAATTCCACAGTTCTGTTGATTAAACCTTTCAAATGAGCACGTGAGATGATAATAGCATCATCCGCATAAAGCAATAATGGGACACAATGCGTCCCCAATTTTGGTGGATGACCCTCCACACTGGCTAGAAAGGGGGGTGGGTCATTTGTAAATAGTTTGAATAGGGAGGGAGAACGTAGCCTTGCTTCACTCCCTTGTTGGTTGGAAATTAATTAGATAACTCACCTTTCCAAGAGGCATGAACCTGGCATGTTGTCCCAGAGTATAACATTCTTATGAGGGAAAGGAGTCTTTTATCTATGGCCCAAAAGAGTTTATTGTTTTTCTGGGTCACTGCCTGCAGCTTGCAGTATTGCTCCAAAATAAATGTCTGCCGTTTTTAATAGAATTCCTTAATTGAGTTTTTAGGGAGAGATATTTGTGCAGATCTTGGGTGGAGTCAGTCTTCCTGTATTCCCTATATAAACAGCGAATTTGTATTTCAGATCCGGGTCACCAGGATGAAAATAAATTTCTTTGTTTTCAGGGATTGCTGCACCTTTGGGCTGAAGGAGTTTCTCCTAATGCCCAGTGGAAATGTTCCATTAATTCATTAATATTGTAAAGTGGTTTGATGGATTTTGTGATGGAAATCTGGAGGTCCTAACACTTCCCTTAATAGCAGATTTTAGAACCTGCTAACACATCATGATCCCATACTAGTCCTTTTGAGGCATCCTGGTAAATAAAACGTGTTTGATTTATATATGCACACAGGCCGCCATGATGCAGGAACATCCTAGCAGTGGCTAACTTCTGTTGCAAAACCGTATTCTTCAGGGAAACTACTTCAGCCTTTAATTTTGCTTGTATCTCCATAGTGACATTCTCCAAGAGGTCTATGGCTCCTGGAGTGTTATATAGAAATTCTGCCAAGGTGGGAATGTCCTCATAGCTTTCTGTCACCTCTACCGCTGGAAAAAGACTCCTTCCCCTTTGAGTCCCTGTTGACCATTTCCAGACCTCCGGAGAAGACCTCCTGGTGACATCTGTGGAGTGAGTAGAATAACTTGTATCTGATTTAATTCATTATTCAAGGAGGCCTGTTTGGGCGGCGGAATCTGCCCAAAATCATATGTTGTGGAGACAACATATTTCTTTTGCCAGAGTTTGTGTACCTTTTAATTTTTTTCATTTGGGAAGAATTTCCATTTATGGAAGGGCCCTTTCTTTCCTGTTAACGCCTCTGTGACTTTACTAGTTAACAATTCTGGCACTTTCTTGGACTTAGTTGAGCCTCCTTTTTTGTGGTATAAACTTCCACTGGGCCTGTACAACCATTGTTTTAAAAAGACTCCATGCCCTTAGGAGAGATTCTTCTTTTTTACCCCTTTCAATTTCTTTCTAACTAGTTTCCTCATCTGAGGGAAGTCCACCCTTCAGAAATCAAGGGTTTTTGTGTCAGATTTACTTGACACTCTCCCCCCAACATGCAAGGCGAAAGAGACGGCAGCATGGCCACTATTCCCTAGCCACTCAGTGACATTCCTGTCCCTAACCAGGTCCTGAGTACCACAGAGTAATAGATCCAGAGTCACCTGTCCTCTGTTGGGCTCCATGACAAATTGCTCCATGGCAGAGTCGTTTAGCATGTCAAAAATCCTGATCTCTCTTTCTTGACACGACCACACATTGGCCTTCTGACCTAGTCGATGTGAGGATAATTGAAATGTGTCATGATTACAATCCTGTCCCTTTTGGACTCCTCCCTGATTTCTCTCCGCATTTCTATTTCCATCCCCTCAAGTTTTTGATCTGGAGGATGATAGCACCCACTCACCCCACTATCACATTGCTCCCTGGGCCTGGCAGTTTAACCCAAAGTGATTCTTTGATGTAGTCACACCTGCCATCCATCTCCATTCTGCTGGATTCTACTCCTTCCATGACCTAAATGGCCACCCCACCTCCAACACGCCCCTCCCTATCCCTGCTGTAGAGTTTATGGTCTGGGATTGCGGCATCCACTGGTTCTCCGAATCCCACCAGGTTTCCACTATGGCCACTATATCAGTCTTATATCTAACCTCTAAATGTTCCAGCTCTTCCATCTTTGCTCAGACGCTTTGGGCATATGCACCCGCGTATTGGGTCCCACAAGAAGGGCTGCTTGTTTGCTTCTCCTTCCAGTGGACAGTCCAACAATCTCATCCCATCACACTCTCAGTCCTAATTACTACACTATCATCACTTTGTTCTCTACCCTCTCCACCCTCTTTCCATAGAGATGAGGAGCCCTAAAACGGATGTCACTCAGCTCCTGTCAGCTTTCCTCCTGTTGTTGTTTAGTCGTGTCCAACACTTCGTGACCCCATGGACCACAGCACCCCAGGCCCTCCTGTCTTCCACTGCCTCCTGGAGTTAGGTCAAATTCATGTTGGTAGCTTTGTTGACACTGTCCAACCATCTCATCTTCTGTCATCCCCTTCTTCTGCCTTCACACTTTCCTACCATCAGGGTTTTTTCCAGGGAGTCTTCTCTTCTCATGAGATAGCCAAAGTATTGGAGCCTCCGCTTCAGGATCTGTCCTTCCACTGAGCACTCAGGGTTGATTTCCTTTAGAATGGATAGGTTTGTTCTCCTTGCAGTCCAGGGGACTCTCAAGAGCCTCCTCCAGGACCACAATTCAAAAGCATCAATTCTTCGGCAGTCAGCTTTCTTTATGGTCCAGCTCTCACTTCTGTACATCACTACAGGAAAAACCATAGCTTTGACTATGTGTACTTTGGTTGGCAAAGTGATGTCTCTGCTTTTTAAGAAGCTGTCGAGAAGTTGTCATCGCTTTCTCCCAAAAAGCAGGCGTCTTTTAATTTTGTGGCTGATGTCCCCATCTGCAGTGATCATGGAGCCCTAGAAAGTAAAATCTGTCACTGCTTCCATATCTTCCCCTTCTATTTGCCAGGAGGTAAGGGGACCAGTGGCCATGAACTTAGTTTTTATGTTGAGCTTCAGACCATTTTTTGCACTCTCCTCTTTCACCTTCATTAAGAGATTCTTTAATTCCTCCTCACTTTCTGCCATGAGAGTGGTATCAACTGCGTATCGGAGGTTGTTGATAGTTCTTCCGGCAATCTCAATTCCGGTTTGGGATTCCTCCAGTCCTGCCTTTCACATAAGCTTTCCTCCCAGATTCAGTTTAAAAGCTGATCTGCCACCTTTTTGAAGTTACGCACCAGGAGTTCACTTCCATCTTCATTCAAGTGAAGCCCATCCCTCTTGGACAAGCCTGGCTTGTCCCAAAACATTCCTCAGTGCTAAATGAATCTAAACCCCTCCACTTGACACCATCATCTCATCCACACGTTGAGACCCCTGAGCTCTGCATGCCTAGCTGGCCCTGTGTGTGGATCTGTAACCCAGAGGATTAAAAACAAGAAGAAAGAGTGAGCAGTCCCCTCATATGTCTATAGCAGAAGGAAAAGATAGAGTGGAGAGAGATAGAGAGGTAGTGGAAGTTATGGAAAGGGTGAAAGAGCTGAAGGTGGGAGAAAAGGGGGAGGAGTTAGGAATGACGAGCAGAAAGGTGGAAGATGTTTTCTTGACAATGGAGGAGGGGAGAAATCAGGGGAAACAAGAAAAGTGGTAGTTTTAGAAGACAAATGGCAGGTGGAAGAAGGAGGAGCAAAGGTATTTAAGATACCTCAGACGGGAGCAATAAGAGAGGGAAGACGCAATAACAAAGAATCAAATATAAAAGGGAGGGAAGTGAAATTGCCAATAGAAGGATTATGACCCGAAGAATGGACGGTACTAGTATACCCTCCAGGACAGGGTCCCTGGAGGAAGATAATCCGGACAGGACCTCTCCAACCGAACGAGAAGCCACCCGAGAGAGACTGGTCTCGTCATCCCTTTTGCAGGACAATATGTGCTGTCAGGAGTGGTTGTTTGAGAAAGCCAACAGACCAGGAACAATTCAGATATGCTCCCCGTTGAAGAAAGTTATGAAGAGATTTTACCGTTGTTATGGACAGATATTCCTGTTGGTGTTGGACCTGTTGATCCCATAGAGGTTGTAGTTGAAAAACCTAAGAGTTCTATTAATAAAGAGTTTATTGTTAAACAACTCTTTCTCTTGTCATTTCCCACCAAAACTAAGGAACTGTCAGACACTTAACAAGGAACTTGATCACAGGATCAGGTAGAACCTCCAAGAACACTACCTTTTATTCAAAACATTTTATTAGTTTTTCACTCTATCTACATTTGATTTGTGCTTGTCAAACATCGTGTTACATGATTTGCTTACAATTATTTGTTTTTTACATCTCAGTGTCTTCCCAGTTGTCCCCCCAAATTCCAGACATCTTTCAAACATTCAAACCATGTATAATATGCCTACTATCATATTACTTTCATAATGTACAATATTCTCAAGATCTTCTAATAACATTCTTAATAAAAGTAGTTCCAGATCCATTCCCCAACCTTCTATCTAGTTTAATTTACCTAAAAACAATAACCCACCATATTACATTTTACCCTGATTAAAGCTCCCTTATTTCAATTTAATTCTCATTTTTAATATAAATGATATACTCCTTTACAATTCTCGAAGTTAAATATATACATATTTTTCAACATTAAGGGCCCCTTTCCTATTTTTCCCTTTTTCATCTTTCTAAGTAATTCCCTCTTTTTTCTCTTTTTTCACTTTTTGTTTCTGTCTCTCTAAGCATTCTGCCATCTTTCATGCCCTCTGAAACCATTTTGTGCATCTGATTTATCTCCACTAGATCTTTATGCACTTGGTCTATGTTCAGTAGATCTTCCAAGCTTTTTTTAAATTAATTTTGCTGATTTTCTCCCCTTATTTTCCCTTAATACTCTCCTCAGAACCAAGAGTGAAGTTGTTTCTCTTAGGTTTTCCCCATTGATTTCTTCCAGCTCCTCTTTTGATTGGCATACAAAATCCAGCACACTCTCATTTCCTTCTTTATTATTCCCTGTCTCTTGTTGACTATAATTCTTCAGATGTTCATTTAATAATTTTGGCTTTTGGTAGTGGGATCTCACTATTTCTAGTATTGTTTGAAAAGTAGGTCTTGTTTCATCCCAAAATTGTCGTTGTTGTGCCATTCTGTTCCAGCTGTCCAAGAACTTAAGCCAAGATTCGAAGCCCCCAAGTCTCACAGTCCAGTTCGATGATTATATCTGTGTCCTAATTGATCCCTGGCAAATTGATGCCAGCTATACAGATATTCCAAGTTTCCAGAGTCAATCCAAAGAGTCTACTTTGGCTAAATAGGCCTGAACCAAGATTTAAATCCCCAAAGTACCAAGGTACAATGCATTGGTTGTATCTGCGGCCTGATGGCCTAATTCCCATAGGTTTACACCAGCTAGTCAAACACAAACACTTCCAGCTCCCGGGGCAGTTTCAGAGGATCTACTTTGGCCAAATAGGCCTGAACCAAAGTTCAAAACCCTCGAATATCACAGTCAAATTCAGTGTTTGTATCCATGTCCTGGAGGCCTAGTTCCCACAATTCTGCATCGGCCAAAACTGGAATTCCAAATCCAGGAATTCCCTGGATGTGGTTCCAAAAAGTTCACTTTGGCACATTATACTAATTCCCAAAGTACAGTTTAAAAAGATCCACTTTAGGATTAATTTGTCTATGTTCCAGCCAGGCATGAAAAGATCACAAAAAAATAAAAAACAGGTTTCTAAGCTTTAAACAGCAGTAGAGTGCTCAAGATCACTGTTCTGGGCATTGTGCCAAAAGCAAGTAATCAAAACATAAGATAACTCCAGAATTTACAAGAAAATCTCTTAAGATTTATAACGCCAAATTATAATATTCTTAAGGTATATTTTAAATGTATTTAAATTAGTAGTTAATGTCCCATTAATCTTTAAGTTATTTTTTTGCATCAACTATCTCTCCACATTTTCTGCCACTCTATGATTGATGAGATTGATAGGAGATTCTTTTTTCTGTATATAGGAATTGTCTTCTCCAGGAGTAATCATAAGCAATTCATTGTAAAAATATGTCTCACCCGATAATAACACTAATGTTAAATAGCTGATTGTTGCTTCTCTTATTGCCGGCTGCCGATGACTTGCAAGCAAGCTTCCTAGCTGCTTGTTTCTGCCCATTGGCTGATTAGAGAGTTTCCTGGATCAAGCGGGGATGACTGCCGCCGCCCCCCATGATCAACAGGCTTCCCCCACAGTTCACCACCTCTCCAGGGTGGTTTCAACACCCCGGGGTGTCTCAAACAGTTCAGAATTCAGTTCAGGGGACAGAGCTCCATCCTCCTGCTGCTGTCTCATCGCGGTGTCAAGCCGGTCTCCGAGAATACTACCTTTGAGGTACAGTAGTATCTCGGTTTACGTACGCCTCGTTTTACATAATTTTTGGTTTATGAACGGAAATCAGTTTAAAATAAAACCTCAGTTTACATTTCTTTTCCCCATTTCTTTTGTTTTGTGAAGGAAGTTTCCCTGCGCCTGGAGGTTTGTAGCGCCACCACCATTGCTGTGGCAACCCGCATTCTGGTTTATGTATTTTTCGCTTGACGTAATGTCCTGGAGGATACATTGATTTCATAAACCAAGGTACTACTGTAATATGCAGCATTTAGTATTTGTAGTAACTCTTCTCCTTCTGAATAATAATCTCTGCTGACTTTGTCAGTTCCTGGCATTGACCACTAACTGCTCTTTACTTGTTCTCGAGTCCAATAATCTAGCTGCATCACAATTATCCACTTATACTCTTCCTTTCGAACACTGTCCTTCCTTTCTAACACAATCATTGGGGAGAATTTGAGAAGGAAAAAAAATTAATATACTTTCAATTTGATGTACATATTTGGCTGTAGAAATGATCCTCCCTTCATTACTCCTCCCTCCAAAAGGTCCCTTAGTGAAGAGCCTTTCCAACCTCAAGCCCAAAAGAACAACTTCTGGTCCAGCCTCATCCCTTCCCTGATTCTCTTCTCTCACCTTCTTGCCTGTCTTTCCTTCCTCTTCCGTAACTCAGGCAGAGATCAAACACATCATTCCTTATTTCTGCAGATTTTGGACGTGGTTGTTTCTCTTCTTTTTCTAATCTACCAGATGATGAACAGGAGAAGAATTGTCCAGCAACATCTGGGGCAACCTGGGCAGGATCTCATAATCAAGCGAAAAAACAGAGAAATGAAAATCGGAGTGGGCAGGCATGGACTTCACATGAAAGGATTGACAAAGGGGAGAAACAGCGTAAATGCATGTCACCTGAGTAGACATCAAAGAACACATATAGGGGAGAAACTGGATACATGTATGGAACGTGGAAAGAGCTTCAGGCAGAACAAGAGCCTTCATAAAAACCATAGAACTCACAATGGGGAGAAACCTTATAAATGCATGGAATGCGGAAAGAGCTTTAGTCAGTGTGCTCACCTTAGGTCACATCAAAGTACTCACACTGGAGAGAAACCACATAAATGCATGAAATGTGGAAAGAGCTTTAGTCGCAGTGATGCCCTTAGGTTACATGAAAGGACTCACACTGGAGAGAAACCTTATAAATGCATGGAATGTGGAAAGAGCTTTAGTCACAGTGGTAATCTTAAGTTACATCAAAGAACTCACACTGGGGAGAAACCATATAAATGCATGGAATGTGGAAAGAGTTTTAGTCGCAGTGGTCAACTTAGATTACATCAAAGGATTCACACTGGGGAGAAAGCACATAAATGCATAGAGTGTGGAAAAAGCTTTAGTCAGAGTGGTCACCTTAGGTTACACCAAAGGACTCACACTGGAGAGAAACCACATAAATGCATGAAATGTGGAAAGAGCTTTATTCAGAGTGGTCAGCTTAGGTTACATGAAAGGACTCACACTGGAGAGAAACCACATAAATGCATGAAATGTGGAAAGAGCTTTATTCAGAGTGGTCAGCTTAGGTTACATGAAAGGACTCACACTGGAGAGAAACCACATAAATGCATGAAATGTGGAAAGAGCTTTGGAAGCAGTGGTGACCTTAGGAAACATCAGAAGACTCACACTGGGGAGAAACAACATAAATGTGTGGAATGTGGAAAGAGCTTTGGAAGCAGTGGTGCACTTAGGTATCATCAAAGGACTCACACTGGTGAGCAACCTTATGAATGCATAGAATGTGGAAAGAGCTTTAGAAGCAGTGGTGCCCTTAGGTCACATCAAAAGACTCACACTGGGGAGAAACCACATAAATGCCTAGAATGTGGAAAGAGCTTTAGTTGGAGTGGTCACCTAAGATTACATCAAAGGACTCACAATGGGGAGAAACCACATAAATGCATGGAATGTGGAAAGAGCTTTAGTCAGAGTGCTGCTCTTAGGTCACATCAAAGAACGCACACTGGGGAGAAACCACATAAATGCATAGAATGTGGAAAGAGCTTTAGTTGGAGTGGTCACCTAAGATTACATCAAAGGACTCACAATGGGGAGAAACCACATAAATGCATGGAATGTGGAAAGAGCTTTAGTCAGAGTGCTGCTCTTAGGTTACACCAAAGGACTCACACTGGGGAGAAATCATAGAAATGCATGGAATGTGGAAAGAGCTTTAGTCAGAGTGGTCAGCTTAGGTTACACCAAAGGACTCACACTGGGGAGAAATCATAGAAATGCATGGAATGTGGAAAGAGCTTTACTCAGAGTTCCTGATAAGTTAGGACATAAGGAGCTGATTCAGTTTTTTGCTTCTTTCCACTGGAAATAATAAAACAACCAAATGCTGACGTAATGCAAAACAGAGAGATGACCAAAATATGAGTGCATTTTGAAGTCCCGCTTGTGATGTCTTTTACTTCTATCATAATTAACATAATTACAAAATAGACATGGAACCTTGTGCTAAAAAATTAGAATACAAGGGGGTGCCAACAAATATTGAGCCTTTCCCAGAAAAACGTGAGGTAGGAAGCTATAAATTGCAGAGTGTGTTGGACAAATCTACTATAGTCAGTGGTTCAAAAATCAAATACCTATGTTTTTAACTTTCATGTTCAGGTCCAAAGTTAACATGGCAGCACCTCCTGAAAAGTTCAATGTGGAAAAGGATAGGAGCATAAAAAGTTCCTGTGTCTCCAAGGGAAAAGTGCAAAGCAGATCCATGTTGAAATGTCACAAACCATGGGGGACAGTGATCCTTCATATGCAAGTGTTGGGTTGTCAGTTTTAAAACTGGCCATTTCAGTGTTGAAAGAAACCCAGCGGAAGGCTTGTTTCTGTCTCTGTGCCTGCAAATGTGAAAGTCATCCATGACATGATCATGGAGGTCCTCCGAATATCAGCCAAAAGTATTGCTACATATCTGAGAATATCACGTGAGAGAGTTGGTGCCTTTATCCACCACAACTTGGAAATGAGAAAGCTGGAAGCAAAGTGGATCCCCAAACTTTGACAACCAAACAAAAGAGGAAACATAGAGTCATTGGTGGCTGTTTTGGAACATTTTGCGAGAAATGAGTCAGATTTCTTGGTAACTGGTGATGAGACATGGATCTAGTGTTATCATCCTGAGACAAAGGAACAGGAATAGAGGCACAGTGGTTCCCCCAGGCCAGAGAAGTTCCGAGTGCAAAGGTCAGTGCAGAAGCAAATGGTAAGTTTTTTGGGATAAGAAGGGAGTTCTGCTGGTGGACTACCTCCAACAGTGTTCAACCATCAATGCAAAATATTACTGTGCTTTATTGACTACGAGGAAAGCTCTCCAAAGGTGTCATCCTGTTGCATGACAACACCTCGTCACACACTGCAGGTGAAACAATGGCAAA